GGCAACAAGACCAGCTATAACAAATTTGTCTCTGGACAGAATCTTCCTCCATCCCCATCAACATGGTAGCCTATGCTTCAGGTGTCCTTTGTGCAGTTTTCATCATATTCAAAGTGACTTCAAAGGAAATCATCTTCATTTGCTCCATGGCCCATCCCTGTTTCTTGAGATGATGGTGTATTCCTAATACCCAAGATCTTCTATTCAAGCTTCCCAAGAGGCCATCTGCCTTCTCAAGGAGAGAACGGTCAGTTGTCTTTATTTCACCTTCTCTCCATTAACAAAAAACTTTTAAGATGGGGTGCTATGGCAGAAATGTCATATTTTTAGCTATGTCTGCCCCTTCTGTCTTTTCCTGAGTTTCTAGCACTAATACAGTTTTCCCTGGCTTCATTTTTCCTATTTGTTTTTGTTGGTTTTAGTTTTCAGGATACAAAAAGAATCAGTCTACCAGCTTTATATATCATTAAGCTAGGTAAAAACATATTTTAACAATTATCAAAATTTTGTTAATGGGCCAGGTGTGGTGGCTTATCCCTGTAACCCCAGCACTTTGGGAGGCCCAGGCAGGACAATTTCTTGAGGCCAAGAGTTTGAGACCAGCCTGGACAACACAGCAAGACCTATCTCTACAATTTTTTTTTTTTTTTTTAATTAGCCAGGCATGGTGGCACACACCTGTAGTCTCAGCTACTCATAAGGCTGAGGCGGGAAGATTGCTTGAGTCCAGGAGGTTGGGGAAGCAGTGAGCTATGATTGTGCCACAGCACTCCAGCCTGGGCGAGAGAGAGAGAGACTGTCTCTAAACAAAAACAAACCCCCCCCAATCCCCCCAAAATTTATTAAGGTTCCAGTTGTTTCTACCAAAAAACAGTATTTTAAATTCTAAATGTATATCCATTCTCATATTAAAATCTTACCACAAAAGACTTTAAAAATAAAAACCTAAATTGAAAACATTCACACTGGCCAAACCAACTTCACAGTAAATTACAAACGAGCCACATTTCAAGCAAAGTGGAAAAGCAAGATTCATGCTGGTGTTGGCTTTAATATGAGATCACTGTTCACTCTTCATTAAGTTTAATAAAAGGTAAAGTGCATAAAGGAATTAGCAATAGTTATTTTTAAAAAGTCCTTTTGATATGATCCTAAAAATAATCTCAAAGGCTTTTATCAAAGAGGAGCCTTGATAAGCTGTTTATACTTTAGATCCATTACTGAAAGAATTTGCCTAAAATCTTTGAATATTCCTATTAACCCTATTTCTTTCAGATCCGTATGCTGAAGTTATTCACATACAGCAGCTCCATGGTACACTTTCTCAAGGATTTAAGTAGGTGATCTCAAGTCTGTTCTTTCTTGACCATTCCAATTCTCAAAATTAAAAATGTTTGTGGAAAAATTTAATGTCAAAGGATGTGTTTGTGATATAAAGAAAATGCAGGGTATACACTCGCTTTCTATATTTTATATATACACGCATATACATACGTATATATATACATACATACTATATATAGGAGGCTTTTTTCTAGTTAAAAATAAGACAACTGCTGAAGCTAAAGTAAATGAGCAGTGGTATAAAAAGTCTCAGAAAGGACAGAGGTTTTGGTTCTATGTCTAGCTTTATACAGTAAGAACAGCATTCATAAAGGCGCTGAAAGACAGGGAAAGTGGACAAGTACACAGAAACACTTGCGCAGACTGGGATGAATAAACTATTAAGTTTATTAAGTAGCTTTTTGCCCCTCTGAAATCCTGGCTTAAATATTTTGGAGCAGGTTTCGCTCCCTTCATTTGCCATGCTGACACAGGCAAATGAGTGATTTTTAAGCTCCTGATTTTAACACTCTGGAGTATTCTTGGCACACAGAAACGCCTAGGTCCTTGAAGGATACTACTTTTCAAACCTGTAGAAGGCCAAAAATTAATCCCTCCCTTGAGAAAGGGACACATCACCAGTCTGCTCTTATTCTACACATACGTCATATGTCTTTAGGCCAGTGTGTGGGTAAGAATTAATTTGCTTGGTAAAACAAATCTCAAAGTTTAAAACAAGGTAATTTCATTTTATTATTTCAAACACTTACTACTATGTACAAGGCATGGTTTGGCTTCCGTAATATAAACTAGACTTTCTTTTTGTGGAAGTCATGCTCAGTCCGGTGAGGGAGATAACCAAACACGGCCCACAGAAAACAATTTGGAAGGTGTTACTACAGCATATCCAGGGATGCTACCGCACCTTAGGTGTGTATGGGGGCAGGTGGGCACTGTGAAGGAGTAATTCCAGAACAGCAACCTAACTCTTGAACAATGAGTAGGAAATTATGAAGCAGGCAAAGGAGGAAGGAAATTCCAGCTGGATCAAACAGCTGAGTACAAAAGATTGGGAGACATGATATAGTTTTGGGGATTGGCAAGAGGTGGAGTCTTACTTGCTGGTTTACTCTTCCACATGGTAGGGGCAAGTTGGATTAGTTAGGAGCTGGCTTGAATATCTAAGGCTGGACTGAGCCTTCACTGGCAGTGGACTTTCCTGCTTAACGTAACACAAGACATCAAGAGCCACTGGAATTTTTAAGGATTAAATGAACTCCAAGCAGCTGGCACAGTGCCTTGCAAATGTTACTTCTTAAAGTAAGTTATTAACAAAACTTTCATTTTGTTAAGCAGTGTTCAGCATCTTAATCCAGGTTTGAAGGTTAGCTGTTTGGGTGCAGCAATATAGGTAAGGAGCAGCAGGTTATGGGGATGTTAGCGTGTGGCTGAAACAACAGGGCATAGGATACTAGGGAAGGGAAAAAGTAGAAAGAAGAGAGACTGGGGGATGACTTGAAACTCAGCCCCAAATAAGACCAACAAAGGATGGAGCTGGAAGACCAAATCATGGAGGAAACATTGGAGCTTAACTACAGTGTTTCTCCAAGACAGGAATTGCCACAGGTGCTGAGTAACTAGAAAACTGTCACAGGAGTGACTGCAGTTAAAGAAAAGGTCAAAGAACAATGAGCTTAGGTAATGAAACTGACCTCAGATGATGCAATGTATGATAGTTCTAGGTGCCAGATCCTATGAACGTGAGCGATCTAATCCAGATTTTTGGTCCAGATTAGCAAGAACTGACAGTAAATCTAGTTGGATTATTTTAAAGTAGAAATGGCAGTGTGTGTTGTGTGTGGGGTGGGGTAGAGTTGGAATGGTTAGGCCAGATATCCTATCCCGGGCAACAGGGTGTCTGGGAATAAACAAATGTAATCTAAGCATCACAAAAAAAGCAGGGCCCATTAGAAGAAATTTAACTTGGTTCAGAGGCATTTCCCTAATTCAGTTCTGAACAGCTTTCATGATCTTTACAGTACTTGCCTGTCATCTATACAAATACAACATTCTAAAATTTTATTTTGAGACGGAGTCTGTCACCCAGGCTGCAGTGCAGTGGCACGATCTTGGTTCACTGCAAGCTCCGCCTCCTGGGTTCACACCATTCTCCTGCCTCAGCCTCCCTAGTAGCTCAGACTACAGGTGCCTGCCACCATGCCTGGCTAATTTTTTTTTTTTTTTTGGATTTTTAGTAGAGACGGGGTTTCACCGTGTTAGCCAGGATAGTCTCAATCTCCTGACCTCGTGATCCGCCCGCCTCGGCCTCCCAAAGTGCTGGTGGGATTACAGGCATGAGCCACCGCACCTGGCCAACATTCTAAAATTTTTAAGTTACTTAATATTTTTTAAGCACTGCACTTAAAAAACACATTCAAAAAAAGTATGTCTGTATACCGCTTAAAATCAATGACCGGCCGGGCACGGTGGCTCACACCTGTAATGCCAGCACTTTGGGAGGCCGAGGCAGGCAGATCACCCGAGGTCAGGAGTTCAAGACAAGCCTGGCCAACATAGTGAAGCCGTCTCTACTAAAAATATAAAAACCAGCCAGGTGTGGTGGCGGGCACCTGTAATCCCAGCTACTCGGGAGGCTGAGGTAGGAAAATCCACTTGAACCCAGGAGGCGGAGGTTGCAATGAGCTGAGATCATGCCACTGCACTCTAGCCTGGGTAACAGTGTGAGACTGTCTCAAGAAAGAAAAAAAAAAAAAAATTATCTCAATCCCTACTTATACCACTGTTTCTAAAGTACCATTCCCACTCTCCCTCATTCCCCAAATCCTTTCAGTACATTTTCACTGTCCCCAGGTACACTTCCCGAACCACAGCAATAAAGGAAACTCATCATAATTACCACTTGCTTGTCAACTGGGCAGACTGGTAGGCCACAAGCACTCATGGGTTTAGCTACATTCTACTTTATCAAGGAATTTAATACTCACTAGGGTTTCCAGAAAAATACGTGGCCATAAATGAGTCACCATTCTGCATCTCTAATATTCAAATCCAAACCACTTTGAAAGTTCAAACTTCTAATTTCTATGTAATTCAAGACGCTCCTAAATTTATTTAACCACATCTCCAATTAATCCTGATTCATTTCTGGCCTCTACCACCTGCCCACCTATGAAGTGTATCTTCAATGTTTAATTTAGAATTTTGTATATTCAGTTTAACTTATATTAAAAACTAAGAATTTTAAAATAGGGAAATGGACTCATACATACAATCTCCGTCTGTGGGTTAAGTATATAAATATGGCACTACTTTCTGTAAATAATGCAAATACTCAACATTTGAAAAGTTTACTGAAAACTTTTATTGTAATCAAAAAGTGACATAACGGGGTTGTAATGAATTCAGCAAATCATTCTGCTGATATTTTAGAACTTATATCAGCTTTTGCCAGGCAATTAAAAAAATTCAAATGTGAAAATTTCACATTACAGTAAACTCCACCCCAACTAATTAATGGTGGTTAAAAATAATAGGCCCTAGCAAAACCTCTCATGTTACATGGTCACAACTCACAATTCTGTACAAAAGTTCGTGTTATAAAGCTCTGATGTAAAAATCAAATAATCAAGCAGCAATATTTTAAGTGCAGCACAGGGTCTTCCATGTCATTATTTACAAGGCTTGAATCTCTTTACATTATAACAAAATTTAATACAGATGACTTAGTAATTAAGTCAATTTTTAAGATCTGTCCTTTTACACAGTGACAGATTTCACTTTTTGGTCATCTTTCTCCTTCTCCTTTTCTTTATCTTTGTTCTTCTTTGACTTCTTTTTCTTGTGTTTGTGTTTTTGGCTTTTTTCCAATTCCACTTCAGTGCCTGCATGTTTCTTATGCTTCTTATGCTTTTTATGTTTCTTGTGTTTTTTCTTTTCCTTCTTTTTCTTCTTCTTCTTGCTATCCTGACTTTCTGCTGAGCTGGCACTGCTACTGTGGCTTCGGGTCTGGCTTCCAGAAGGACTGTGGCTTCTGCTGGGGCTGACGCTGGGGCTGCTGTGGCTCTGGTTCCTGCTTATGCCCACCTGGACAACTGCTGCTGTGTCCAGGTTCTCTTTCGCTTTCTCCACTATTTTATCTTTCAGGTCCTTAGAAATGTTTCCTGAAGTTTCCTCTTCTTTTACAGAAACATTACTTTCACTGTCACTTTCATTATAGTCTGGTTCAAAAGCAGCTTCATCAGTTTCTCTAGTTAAGTCAGAGGAAAGTCTGGAGGAATGACTTAACTGGGGTTTAGGCTTGGCAGTATTCTTGTCAATTTGCCCAGTAATTTGCTCTTTTTCAACCTGTGTCTCTGGTGGGTTAAGTATATAAAGTAGTTTATTGCCACTTGACTCTTTATTGTTCCTTGCTTCTAATACATGCTTCTCACGATCCTTACAAGGATTTTTATCTACAGACTTTGTCTCTTCATTTGGGCGTTTAGTATCATAAGTGGCTTTGTGATCATGAGGTTTTCTGTCTCTTGAAGGACTAGAATTACTTTTTTTGGAATCTCCTGTTCCTTTTTTAGGCAAATCTCTCTCTTCCCTTGGCTTATTTTTCTGTCCAGATGCAGAATCTTTATTCCGAGAAGGAGAGTCTTTTCTTCTTGTTAATTCATTCTTTTCATCTCTACGTTTGGAACTTGAATACTCTCTGGTGTCATAGTCAGTTTTTTTGTCTCTATTGGGAGTGAAGTCTTTATTTGAGGAAGCACGAGTGGAATCATGTTTATCTGAAGTTCTAGCCTCTTTGGAAGATTGAGACAGACTTTTAAAATTTCCTTGTTCATTCAGACGGTCCAAATTACTCTCTTTCTCTGGCTGAGTGTTGTTCTTCCTCTTTTCAGCGTTTTCCTTTTCCAACACTGAATAATCTCGATCTTTGGTTTTCCCTTTTTCACTACATGCAGAGTTTTTTGAACTTTTAACCTCGTGTTGTATGATTTCATGGCTCACGTCCTTGGTGAATTTCTGAATTTTCTCTGATGGCTCACTTTCTTTCTCAGGATACTTGACTATATTTGATGGCTTGGTGCTAACATTTTTTATAACACTAGCGGGTTTTCCTACACTTGATATAGGCTGTGTGGATTTAACATCTTCTTCTTCAGATTCAAAGTCATCTTTATCCCATTTGGATTGAGGAACCTGAATCATAATGATAACATCTTCAGCTGGTGCTGTATTGTCATTATTATATTCTTCCATCGTTTTAATCACAGTTCGCTTTGTATCTGTTTTTTCTTCAGATTTCCGCACAGGACTGCCTCCAGTTGAGCTCGTACTAAAAAGAATAACAATATTTTTAATTAATGAATTTATTAATTATAAAACATTGATAAATATAAAAATGCTAACTTAAACACAAATGTCCTTTTAACTTAAAAAAAAAACAACAAAAAAAAACTTATTCTGCCCTAAGGAAGACACACAATTTAAGATTATGATTGTATAAACACAAATGTGGCTCACCCCCAAAATCTACTTATAACCTTGTCTTTAGCAATTCCTTTCTTCAAAGACAACAAAAGACTAAATAAAACCAGCCTACTTCCCTAGATCAGCACATTCATAATATAGAAAGCACAAGCATGGGTAAAACTGAAGAAAATCCTTCCCCCAACAAACTTCCACACCCACCCCCTACATTCAGATACCTGGTATAATCCACTAGAGTTGAGCTGGATCCTTCAGTTCCAGTCACTTTTCGTCTGACCTTTGCTTTGACTTTTTCTTGTTTAACTTTGCTAGATGTTGACTCCAACTTTTCACAGGGTTCTTTCGTGTTAGATATATTTTCTGTACTTCCAATTTTCTTCCCAGTTTCTCTGTTGAGTTTGATTTTTTTGGCTGGCGCAGTTGAAGAAATTTTGTCCTTTTCAGGGGTCCTATCCATTTTTTCAATATCAGGTTCCATTTTGCGCTTTGGTGATGGTTTCACTATTTCAGTCACTTCTAGTTTCGAGATTTTCATTGAAGAAGACTCAAAATCCTTATCTACACCTTTTTCCTCAGTTTTTCTTTTTCTTTTTTCTCCCTTATTATCAAGTGGTTTGTTTTTCTCATTAGGCTTCTTGGCCTTTTCTTCCTTAGTTGTTAGCTTTTCTGATTTGACATCTTTGGAATAGTCCTTCTTCACTTTTTCCTCTTTGACTGGTTTTGTTTCTTGGTGTTCTTTTGCTGATTTAGAGTGAGCTTTTCTGGGCGTTCCAGTGATTTTTTCATCCTTCTGAGAGGAAGATGATGATTTAGCATTGTCAGTCTTTGGAGTCTCCTCTTTGGCTTTTTTAAGTGGAGGTTCAGATCGAGGAGATTTCTCACGTTCTCCATCTACTTTTTCTTGGGGTCCTTTAGCAGGTTTTACAATATTTTCTTTTTTGGACACAGCAGATCCATCATTCTTCCGTTTGGTTTTATCACCCTTTGTTTTTGGTTTATCCCTTTCTCTCTTGTCTTTTTCAGACACTGATTTAAAAGTGATGGATTCTGCATCCATTGGTTCATCTCTAACAGGTGTGGCATCATCTCTACTTGGGAGAACAAACAGTGAGTCTGTTTTATTTTCTTCAACACCTGTAGGTTCTCTTGATTTCCTAGAAGTCTCTAATAACTCTGGGTTCAGAAAACCCTCACTTTCTTCCCCTTTTCTTCTTTTTCTGTGTTTCTTATGCTTATTTCCTTTACCATCTCCTGGAGCGTTTTCACTCTCCTTCTCTTTTGACTTTGTATTATCCTTCTGATTGTGACCATCTCTTGCTGAAAGCTTTTCTGGATAGTTGCTACCTATGTTTCGACTTCTATGACTTTGCCCACCAACATAATCTTCTCTGCGGCCTCTTGTGAAGGGAGAATTCCTGATGTTAAGTGGTAAAAATCTCTCTGGAGAAAAGTTCTCTCTATTTGCTGAGGGTCTAGGCTGTGCTCCAGCAGCAAAACCTTTATAATATTTTTCATACCACTCTCTATATTTTCTCTCCCATTCTCGATAGCGTTCTTTTTCAAATGGGTCTCTAAAGTCAACACTCCTCCCATAATAGGCTTTCATGTCATATGGTGGTGGAACTTCTCTGTATCTATTAAAATATTCACGTTCCGTTTCCCCTTGAGGTACGTTACGTTTATTAGGAGACTGTCCCCTAAACGCTTGAGGAGATCTTGATCGTGAATGATAGCGTCTATAAGGGGGTGACCTTGACCTAGATCGATGATATCCATGAGATCTAGACCGTGAACGGTAATTGCGGCTCTTGCCTCTGCCTCTTCTGGGGTATGGAGGTGACCGTGAATAGGAACGAGAATGTGAGCGGCTGAATGATCGAGAATAAGAGCGTGAACGTGTTGAACCAGATCTTGATTTAGAATAAGTATATGAACTTCTTGAATACGAAGAACCACTATAGGGAGATTTAGACCTAAAAACAAAACAAAACAATAGTTGATAGTTGAGAAATACATACAAAATAAAACACAAACTCTCAGATTCTAGCATTCTTTCCTCACGGTTTCATCTGTCTTTGTATCAAATTTCATCTTAGATGATTAAAGAGGCATAGTGACCTCTACTGGAATGGAATAAAGTACACAAATCAGAGCAATCACTTGTTACAAAACAAAAGTGAAGTCTTAACAATTAGAGTGAAGTGCATTAATGTACCGTGACTTATATGAGCTAACTAACATTAAACAAAATGTCAATTAATTTTAAATTTCACTTCCTATCTGAATATTGAAGTAGGAGTCTGTTTTTTGTCCTATACTGGCCAACAGCCTAGTTGTAAAAGAAACATTTCAAGTGTAAGGCTAAAAAATAAAGTCTTTTAAACAAACTTCCAGGGAATTTTTATAATTCACTTTTTCTATCAATAAAGCAATTCGTGTTCTATTACTGCTTCATAATTACACAGGTTAATGTTCCAGCAAGAAGCTGTAGCCTTATGGTAAAAGGGTCCTGAGAACTGTTCTTTGGCTATTCCCCTATTTCTTTCCTTCCAAAAACATTTCCCAATTATTTGATACTATAAATAACTTCAAGGGACAAGGGCAATTTAATCCCCACAACTGTTAGTTCTACACAATAGAATTTACACTGAGACATTATTTCAATGAACAGATATTGGGAAATAAGCTACATCTTCACTTCTACACACCTAGACCGAATCAGAAAAATTCGTAAGTGCAATGTTCTTTATATCCATAGCTAATCCCTGGATATTCAAAGTCCCATTTGTAATTCTGTTGTGAAGGCTTGCAAAACACTAACCTGGAAAATGAGCGCCTACGCTCCTTTTGAATCTTTTTGTATTCCATCAATTCCTTAGCAAAATCATTTGTAAACTCATCTAGCTTGGACTTTTTCTTTTCCCTAGTAAAATAAAGTTAAAGAGTGAAAGTTAACAAAAACCATTTAAGAAAACTAACAAGACAAATGTAATTAGATCATGAATGAAATGAATGAAATTGCCATTAGTTTTCCACTTTAAAACTATAAACTAGGAATCCCTGAGGAAGTTGCTTGTATGGCTTTGGTTTAAATTTTAGGTGAATTTCTCATACTAACTGGAAACACTGGAAAACGTTTCCAGACACCTATTTAATGTTATTATCAGAAAATGAAAAAAGTGTATAATAATTTCAAATTAGAATACATACTCTTCTTTTAGTCGTCGCTGCTCTCTATAGAATTCTTCCCTGGACAAAGGTGGTGCTTGTGTTGTTGGGATGGTATTTGAATGAGCTGTCTGCACTCCTGATGATACCCAAGGTGTTGATAAATTGGTAGGAGCTGGAGGAAACCCTGGAGGAGGGACACTATACCCAGCAGGTGGTGGCTGGCCAGGAGGAAACTGAGGAGAAAACTGTGGAGGAGGAACACCCGTAGGGAGAGGAAGTGTATGGGGAGGAGGCGGATACAAAGGAGGTGGTGGAACAGGTACAAAGACTGGAGTTGCTGGTAGTGACGGGCCTTGAGTCCTCTGTGATCTTTCGCTGTGGTGTCGCCCACGGTTTATACTTCTGGAGAAATAAATTCCAAGATATTACTTCTTCAAACTAAAGTCATCTGAGACAAGTAAGCTTATCTTTTCTATCCATAATTATTTTCGAACTTAAAAACAGTGGAATAGAACCAACTATTCAACTAGTATAGAAACATTAGTACAATTTATTTGTAAAAATAACTCTACAACATAACATAATTCTTAAGGCCATGTATTGACTGAGATGATGCAAGTTTATAGGACCTTTTCTACATGGAAATATTGTATTTAAAAGTTCTCTTTTATGAAGTTCAGATTGATTATCACTCCACTAATTACTACCTGTTACTTCCTAAACTGTCTTTTGAAGGAACTGACAGATTAATGCTGCTGTGACCTAGCTCTCCCCAAAAGTTTACTTATTTATTTTTGAGACAGAGTCTCACTCTGTCGTCCAGACTGGACTAAGTGGTGCAATCTTGGCACACTGCAACCTCCACCTCCTGAGTTCAAGCGAATTCTCCTGCCTCAGCCTCGCAAGTAGCTGGGACTACAGACGCGTGCCACCATGCCCAGCTAATTTTTGTATTTTTAGTAGAGACAGGGTTTCACCATGTTGGGCAGGCTGGTCTCAAACTCCTGACCTCAGGTGATATGCCCAAAGTGCTGGGATTACAGGTGAGAGCCACCACACCCGGCCCCAAAAGTTTAAATGAAGGAAAACCACCTACTGTAACTTCTTTTTTGAGGCAGGAAGCGGGTGAAGATCATACAAAGCAGAATAAACTCTAGTTTTAACTTCTATAATTAACAATGAAAATATCAAGGCTTTCTCTCAAAGAGAAAGCATTCTCCTTTTTTTGGAGACAGGGTCTCGCTCTGTCCCCCAGGCTAAAGTACATTGATGTGGTTATAGCTCACGACAGCCTTGACCTCCTAAGCTTAAGTGATCCTCCTGCCTCAGCTCCCCAGGTAGCTGGGACCACAGGTGCATGCCACCATGTCTGGCTAATTTTTAATTTTTTTTTCTTGGTAGAGACAGAGTCTTGCTATGTTAACCAGGCTAATTTTGAACTTCAGGCCTCAAGCAATCCTCCCCCATCAGCCTCCCACAGCTCTAAAATTACCAGCATGAGCCATTATGCCTGGCCAAAATTCTTCTTATGAAGTTTTGGAGACCCCTTTATCCTGGTGGTGATTATGAACTAGACTAGCAGTTCTCAACTTTTTGGCACCAGGGAGCTGTTTTGTGGAAGACAATTTTTCCATGGACGGGGGTGGGGGGTGGTTTCGGGATGAAACTGTTCCACCTTACAGGATCAGGCATTACATTCTCATAAGGAGCGTGCAACCCAGATCCTTCACATGCGCAGTTCACAACAGGGTTCCATGCTTCTATGAGAATCTTAATGCCACCACTGAACTGACAGGAGGTGGAGCTCAGGTGGTAATGCTTGCTCACCTGCTGTTCACCTCCTGCTGTGTTGCCCAGTTCCTAACAGGCCAAGGATGGGTACTGGTCTGTGGCCCACGGTTGGGGACCCCTGACCTAGACAGTAAGATTCTTACTTCTCAGATTAATATTGCTTGTACCTGCCCACCAGGGCAGAAGCCTCTAACAATCTCCTGTCTCTCCTTTTGGAAAAGAGAAGGTGGGAGATGATTGGGACAGTGGAGTATAGAAGAGAAATAAATGCAATTCTTGTTCACAGTTGGGAGCTGAGCTTGTTAGCTTTCATCTTAAATTGGTATCTTAAATATTGTCTGAGCCTTAATGACTTTCTTCTACTTCCAAGAGGGTAAATGCAAGCCAATATTCTGCTGTTTGCTGCCTGGGAGAAAGTAATCACTGGGAAGGAATATTAAAAATGTCTTAAAAACCATCATTTAAGATACTATATATTATTCTTTTCTAGCTCTCTTTAAAGACAACTACCCAGGACTTAAGAGGGATAAACACAATACAAACAAATGACCCCCTTCCCTCCTGCCACTGCTGTGCTTTTATTTCTTTGGTATTATATTTTTCTTTGGTGATACATACACACACACACACACACACACACACATATATATATATATAAAATAAGATGATTATTTTCCAAGATTTTTAGTATGCCTACCTGTAGCAGCTCCTCTCCCCTCTTCTAATTTGTTGTGGTGGAGAAACCAGATAGCCGAGTTTGTTGGAACTGTGTGGGAGAAAAAAAAAAAAAGGCTCAAGTATTTCTCCACAGGTATAATACATGACCTTTCCATGCATAGATGTTAAGACACCAATTTTAACTGCTCTGAAAACTTTTTCCTACTCCCCAATTCTTAAACTTGTTTTGGATAGAGAGCTGAAAAAATATTGTATTAACTTAAAACTAATTTTCCTCCACCAATTAACTGTATCATAACAATAACTAGACCTCAAAAGAGATCACTTTATGTAATATTATATTTTAATTGGCATTCTATAAATTACTCTGTGAACTTACTGTTATATAGAAGGAAAAGAGCCCTTTTGTCTGCTGGGCACAATGAAGTCATTTTACATGTTAAGGTAGGTAGTGTCATTCCAAATCCAAATGAGGAAATGGATGTTAGGGAGTAAAACCACATGACCACTGTCATGCAGCTAGGAAACGAAGGAGATGGGATTCAAATCCAAGTCTACCTGTTTCTAAATCCTATGCTCCTTCTACTGATTTATCCTACTAGTAACTCATACTTTTAAGAACATGTCAGTTTTCAACTGGATTATATAAACAGAAATAATTATATAAATAAAAATACATTAAGTCAGTCTGCCGATTTTCAATGCCATAAAACATCCCACAGAGAAAATCAAAGTTCTTTGTATTTTAGGGTGGAAAAAAACACATCCTGTAGAATAAAAGACTTCATTTCAGACAAAAAATTTTTGTTTGGTAGATGTTAATCTTATTATGTATGCACTCAAATCAAACTTTGATCATCCAATCTAAGGATAGAAAAAGTTAAACCTACTAGGAAAATAACTGACACCATATTTAAAATAACTTTTCAAGTAATCTTATCTACTCATTAACTGAAGTCCTGTCAAGATCCCCATTTGTTGGACATGAAAGTAGAAAAAAACTTTAAAAATTCTGTATTTTAGAAAAGATTTACTCATTTTTAAAAAAAACCCTCATATAAGCTTGAATTTTGACATTTTACAAAAAAAAAAGTTAATCTGGCACATGAAAGTTTACAATAAAGAGCAGCGACCGGCTGCCTAGTTTGGACCTTCCATCATCTAGTTTGCAGGCAATCATCAGAAGATTACTGTAAACATCTACTCACTGTTCCCAGCCTGGTCGACCACCACCTGGACGAGCAGTATTTATTCTTACTGGACCTAGAAGCAAAAAAATAAAAACAGTAGGTAAATATAAAATTGCACATTAAATCAAGCTAAAATTATTTTTTAAAGGGAAAAAAGTCTAAACCAAAGTCACCTTACTTACCAGTTGTGGGGATCAATTGTCCGTGCAATAAGGACTGTCCAAGCAAAGACGGGGTTCCAAGAACAGGCACCTGGTAACCCTTTAGAAACAACCACAAATAAACAGAAATAGTTAATAATAATAATAATAAAAAAAAGAGGTAAAAACAAAACCAGAACAACAAAACCCTACTGTAAAAAAATGCCAAATTAAAGCATCAGTAAAATTTACCTTCTCTTCCATAAGAGCGGTAATTGCAATTGAGGAGGTTCCCTTTGAGTGCTCTGATGCAAGAGCTGCAGCTGGCAATATTTTATTATCAGAATCCCTTAAAAAAATATAAATTATAATACATTAAAAATCATCAGAAATGGACAATTAAGAGTAAAAAATTTGCTGCTGTTTACCCATCACCTGCAGTAAGATCAGTTACGTGAAAGATGATGAATACTTTTGAGAAACATGACAGAAGACTGAAACTTTGAAGAGTTCTCTATATCTAAGTGGAAAAGTAAAATGAAGGACCCTCAAGAAGATATGATACTTATGACAGAAATCACTTGCAAGAAAAGCAAAACTTAAAGAAAATCAAAGTGTGGCCTATGAAGACAAAAGTCCCCCTAGGATTAGGAGTTAAGTTTTAGCTCTAGCTCTACCACTAAACTGAAAGGATAATCTTGGGCCAGCCATAGAACTCTCTGGGCCTATTCCCACTATCAACCAAATACATTTCACCAGATCAGTGGAATTTCTTAAATGTAAATGTAAAGGTCTCATCCTAAAGATTTTGCTTCAATATGTCTGAAATGGGCCTCTGACACCTATTTTTTTTTTTAAGAATTTATGAGACATTAAACTACATGGACAACTGTCTCATTTCTGAAGTGGCAGGCTATGAGTTTTCACTATTATCCTACATAATAACGATGCTCCACAACAATCACTATTTCTGACTTCTCTACCTATCCAAATTGTTCTTACTCAAAACTACTCCTATCCAAAACTATCATTATGACCACGAGTGAATTCTTCCACCTCTGTTAAGTTCAGAGCTGTTATGGTATATGGAACATTCAAGGTTTAACAGGAGCTGGTTGCAACCTGTGTAGTATTTGACCTCGGGATGCTTAATCCTCATTTGCCAAATGAATCTCCTTTGTTTTCCTCTTCCCCCAATAAGACTAAGTCATTTCTTACAAGTCATCCCACATTACTAAGCACAGTGGTCCACTAAGAAAGCTGTTAAAAGTGATACTCAACAACAAAACACTACATCATTGACCTCATTTGGTTTCTAACAGTGAAAAATACACAGGCTTACCGAAAAGGTCCATCTGATTTTTCTGAATGAACTGATATTGATACTGTTGCAGTTATATCAGGTACAGGAGCTGGAGCAGAAGATGGATTTCCAGACACAGGAGGGGCCAAGGAAGACTGATTAGAAGTTAATGAAGATATAGAGGGAGTTGGGTGAGTTGATGAAGATGTCACTGGAATCATAAGAGGATCTTGTTGTCTTGATATTGGAGATCTCATCAGAGGCTGCAGGTTCCTCTGAATCAGTGGTCTTGGAGGTGGTATTGGGGGTGGTGGAGGAGGTAACTGTTTTCGTAGTCTTTTTGTATAACCAGTTTCATTTTTGAAGTTATTAACAGCCTACAGATACCAAGCATAATGCAGAAAAATGTTATGCAGTATTCACTGAAGTACAGTTAAATCAGTTAAAAAGTAAAAAGAATTTTTTCATAAAATGGATACAAAGATTTACCTGTCGTAAAAATTTATTGGCAATTAAAGCATCAGGAGAAACATCATTTTGATGACACGTTGGACATGTATGCTCATCTGACTCCAGGAGTGCTGTTCTTATACCTATGTGTAAGATTTCAAATATTAATAAAAGCATAGTAGGAACTCAGTGTTTACAAAATGAATTAAAAGGATGGTCCACATTTGTTCAGTTACATTACTGTTTTCCAAGCATGTTGTGCTAATCATTTCTTAGATTAAGAAACTTAAGTAAAATCTCCCATGTTAAGTACCCCTCTGCTCTTTTCTGTATGACCTATGCTACTCTAAAAAGAGAAGTCATAGCTGGGTGTACTGGCATGTGCCTGTCATCCCAGCTCCTGGAGAGGCTGAGACAGGAGAATCACTTGAGCCCAAAAATTCAAGGTCAGCCTGGGGCAAAATAGAAAGGATCCCCCACCTCATCTTTTTTTTTTTTTAAAGGACACATTTAAACTAATGTCTGAATTGCCAGCAAAAGCACTCTTTGTTTAGCTAGTAACTGGAATATTGCAGAAAACAAAAGAGAAGTATGAGATAGTCTAGAAAGGCAAAAATTTTACATGGCTAAGTTGGGGTTTTTATTCTAGCAAGGAAATGAGAGATCTACAGCACAGTACATGGCAGCAACACTAAATTACCGATATGAAGATTATGCTTCAATGTAGTAAAACTCCAGTAATATCAAGTGGTTTGTTAAATCTAAGATATACTCTGAAACAAGTCTTTAGCAACCTCTTCTTGATTTTGGTCTTCACTGAAGAGGTCAAAAAATACAGATTTACAGGTATCCAAACCAGGACCCTCTGAAGATAACAAAATCTGTAGATGTTCCAAGTCCCTCAACTGCCCCAAAGGCATAGTATTTGCATGTAACTACTATGTACATCCTCCAGTATACTTTAAATAATTTCTAGATTGCTTGTAATACCTGCTGCAATATAAATATTATGTAACTAATTCTCTTATTTTAAAATCTGTATTAGTCTTTACTATTATATTAGTTTTTACTGTTTCCTTCCCCCCAAATATTTATGATCTGTGGTTGGTTGAATCTGCAGATGCAGAACCATGTGTATGAGGACTATATATTTCAAAACTACCTTTAAAAATGAAAAAGGCCAGAGCAGGCTTGAGCAAATTTTCGGGTTAACACTGATTTATTCTGTGTAAGAAGGCACAAACTTAGGATAAGAGGCAGGAAAAAACTAAGTGCTAATATAAGTGAGTTAAAAAGTCACAACTGCATGGTAAATGCTGGGTAATAAATATGTCTACAGACGCCGGGCGGTGGCTCAAGCCTGTAATCCCAGCACTTTTGGGAGACCGAGGTGGGCGGCTCACGAGGTCAGGAGATCAAGACCATCCTGGCTAACATGGTGAAACCCTGACTCTACTAAAAATACAAAAAATTAGCCGGGCGTGGTGGCGGGCGCCTGTAGTCCCAGCTACTTGGGAGGCTGAGGCAGGAGAATGGCATGAACCTGGGAGGCAGACCTTGCAGTGAGCCGAGATCACGCCACTGCACTCCAACCTGGGAGACAGTGAGAAGCAGGTCTTAATACACTTAGAAATATTAGGATAAGCTATTCACAATCCAGGAAAAGGATTTAGATACCACTTAAAAATACTTCCAGAATTATCTAAGGCCCAAAAAGGTTTTAAAATTCTGGATACCACTTAAAACATATAGAAAACAAAGTCTGTATTAAGAAAAACACCTCAGTATAGTCACCCTGACAAAGGTAGAGAAGGTGTTCTAGTATTTAATAGGACAAAGAGGTTATTGTTTAAAAAAGATACAGCAACAAAAACAGACTTCTCACTACTAAATGCTCATTGATCAACACTTGTCATCAACATTATTAATTTTATTATTAAAATATATGAGGTTGGGAAGAGCCATTCCAAGTAAATACAAATATTCTAAAATATACATCTTCCAAGATTCAGCATTTCTTACATTCATCACAGTAACTGTTTCCACAGCAGGGAATCACAACAGCATCAGTCATAATATCCTTGCAGATGAGACACAACAATTCATCTGGGATAGGATCATCTTCTTCTGAGGAAGAAGATGGCTCCTCTGGTAAGAAGGGAGGTTTCTCTTTCTTCCCAATTGCATATGCTTCTCTGTAAAAGAAGGTTTTAGTGTTTCACCATTGTTAAGAAGGCAGAGTATTCATGCTACATGTTCTACTATTACATGATCGGAACACATAATTCAGCACAATGCTAAATTACTTTTGACAAGCACCATATCTTCTAAAATAAGGGAGTAATTATGTACAACCTCACTCTAAACAAAGACACAAAAGTCTAAACAAGTATAACAAAAAGAAGCAAGGAAATGCTATAAAAACAATAAAAGGATCTTAGAACCCATAACTCTAAGAACTGTGGGCCAGAAATAAAGCAACATGTTCTGTGCCATAAACTTCTATTTAAGTGACAAAGACAAGACTTGAATTTAGACAACACCATAATCACAATTTTTCCTACTCTATCAAGTTTCTTGAAAAAAATAAAAATAAAAATTAAAAATCCCCAAAAATCTCCCTTTCTCCATATCCCAAAAGTCCCTCAAACCTGTGAAGGTATTGGAGTAAATGCCACAAGATGGGAAATTAAAATTAGTACTGACATTATACAATTAAGGAAAGATAGTTCAAAGGAAATATTATGTCATCGCCAACAAATAATTAATAAAATGAGATACCAAAACCCATGAACTACTTATTAGTATTTTAAGAGAGGTTAATCAATTTATAGTCAATTAAGAAACATTAGTGACTTAAATGATCAAAATATGTGTTACAAAATTGTAAAGTAACACCTCATTAGACATTCTAGGTCCAGTTTTTTGTAGAAATGCATTTTGCAGAAATGTTGGGCATTAAATATAGTATTAAAAAAATAAAAATAGCTATTCTCAGACTTGTCACCATTGCTTCTACACCCCCATCTTCTCTGTAATCAGGCAAATTTGCAAAACACAGGTATCCCTAGAGAAACCCTTTCTATTTCATTCAGGAACAGAGTGTGTTTATCTCAATGCTGAAAATGAAAGAATCTCGGCTGTACAGAGTAGGGTACCTTAGGTGTGTTATTTGTGTTGCAGTTGCTCCATAGACATCACCACGATTCCAGAAATAAGTATCAATTTGCTTATGCCCCATTGTTCCCAATTTGTGAAAGAGGAGTCTCCCACTGCCCAAAAGAGAGAAAAAAGAAAAAAAAAAAAAAGAAAAGAGGAGAACAGAGGATAGAAAAAGAAACAGAAGAAGAGTCTGAGTTGCTTATCAGTGGTGTTAGTGAAGAGGGTGAAAGTTTCATTTAAAATATTTGGATTCCCATCTTTCCCCAGTATTTGCTGTGTGTCTGGCACAATTGGGCATTTGTATTTCAGCATTCAAAAGCAATGAAGTTAATTATTAGTTAGGGTTTACAGGTGATATTAATTTTTCCGACACAAATTTTTATTTAAAAATTTTACATAATATAGATGAAGCGGTCTGCTCTTGTGTCTGTAAAAAGAATCAATTTCAAGCTAAAGTTGTTTGGAAACATCTATGAAATGTCTCTGAATTAGAAACAGCATAACAACAGACTGTTCAATGATGAACCACAAAAACACAGGATGGTGACTGATAAAAAATAGATGGGGGTGAAGTTGAGGAAGTGAGCAGGGTTGGGAGTTTAGGAAAACATTCTTATCTGTGAACGAAAACACTATTTACTAAAGTACATATTCAAAAACACAAGATCTTTTCAATACCATTCTACGGCATAGCTATTTTCATCATCATCCCCACCTGCTCACTACACTACACTTCAACAATATTTATAGCATGAAGCCGAGGAAAACTGTTCTTTTTTTTATATATATATATATATATACACACACACATATATATATATTTTTTGTCACTGAGAACATGAACACCTATTCTGTAAATTGATGCCCTGAGGATCCTCTAACTTCACAATCTCCTGTACAACCTGTTAAAAATGTAGAATCAGGGTCTTATCACATAACTTCTAAATCAAAATCGGGGGCAGAGCAACCAGGATTTTTTTTTTTTTTTTTTTGTCCAAGGTCACTCTACCTGGCCAGTCTTTTAACATACTTTTGCAGGAGATTCTTATGCTCAACAAAGTTAGAAAACGACAGTCCAAAGAACGCTTAATATTGTGTTGTATAGTATGTGAATTAACAACTGTTGAAGGTAATCCAAAAAGTAACTGACTACATTAATAAAAGCAGATAAAATGGGAAGTTATCTAGTTGAACCCTGCCACTAATTTTCATGTCTGTCCATTTCATTAAAAACTGGTTCATAATATAAATCTGAATACACATTAAAAATGGGCATTAAGGGCCGGGCACGGTGGCTCACGCCTGTAATCCCAGCACTTTGGGAGGCCAAGGCGGGCGGATCATGAGGTCAGGCTAATGTGGTGAAACTCCTAACACATCCTGGCTAACACGGTGAAACTCCGCCGCTACTAAAAAAATACAAAAAATTAGCTGGGCGTGGTGGCAGGTGCCTGTAGTCCCAGCTACTGGGGAGGCTGAGGCAGAAGAATGTTGTGAACCTGGAGGCGGAGCTTGCAGTGAGTCAAGATCGCGCCACTGCACTTCAGCCTGGGGGACACAGTGAGACTTGGTCTCAAAAAAAAAAAAAAAAAGGCATTAAGGTGTTTTATAGAGCTATAGTTTATCAGAACTAATGGTTTATAAAATAAACCTTACTTGAGAATCTTAAGACTCACATGGCATATCCAAACTTATTCAAGCTACTTCAGTATTTCATTTACGCCTGACACTTAAATTTGCCTCAACATCATGCAGAGCTTTTATTCTTAAGCCTCCTGTTTCTTAAAATGATTACAATCTGTTTTGTTCACTTAAAAATGCAAGTAGCATATATAATAAGAGTATGTGGGAGTATGTATGTGAATGAGGAAGAAAGCAGGGAATGACAGAAAAAGAAAAAATTAGAAGACTACAAGGGAAGTGGCACTCACTGATAACAAAAATCCCCAAATCCATTTTAAATTTGCTTTAAATGGAGCAGACTGCAGCCTCACAGAAATGCAAGATGTAGAGACTAATGACCTTGGTATACAAAGTTCTCAAGGAATCCAAGTAGCCAAGTTACAAGCCCAAGATTAAAACACTATACCCTGGGACTGATTGGAGTCTCCAAAGGTCATACCTAATTTGCATACTTACGCATCTATAGTTGGTATTGCATATTTTCCAGTGTTGGTAAGCATTGCACCTTTCATGTTAGGATCTTTCACTTCCATCATGAAACTTCTGGGAATTCCAGTGCTCTTTTTAATCCTAGGACCAGATTCAAAGTTTTTATCCTATTCAGAGGAAAAAGGAAGAGGAGGAAGAGAAAAAGCAGTTACCGTTATTTAATAAATTAGCGAATGTTATACAGTGCTTACTATATTACTTGTAGCGCTTTACATATGTGATCTCATTTAATCCTCGTAACTGCGATGTGAGGTAAGTACTATTTTATCTTCATTTTAGAGAAGAAAAAACAGGCTTATAGAGATCAAGTAACTTGCCCAAACTCACTCAGCTAAGTGGCAGAACCAAGATGTGAAGCCTGGCAAATTTGGCTCCAGAGACCACGCTCATTTGCCATTGTCTACAGAAGGCAGTATTAACCAAGAAAAATGAGATAGCTAAGAAACAATTCCAAAGGAAAAAAGGTAAGACATAGTTTCTGCTTTGAACTTACCCCATTTGTTGGGCAATTCTTAATATAATGTCCAGGTTTACCACAACGGAAACACGTGTAAGATGGAGGTGGTGGACCTAGAGGTTTCTTCATGTAACTAAAAGGGGGAAAAAAAATTACATGTATACGAGGACTTCGCAAAAATAGTGCTTTTGATTGGGGGGGAAAACCCACCCCAAAAGTTCCTATTAGTATAAAATATTTATGAAACTTACTTGATTGGGTCGTATTCATGGCCAGATTGCGACATCATTGCTTTAATTTTATCTTCTTCAGAAGCATTGGCTTCAGCCAGATTGGCAGTCTGTTTAACAGGTAATTATTTGACACACACATTAGAAACACATTTAAGACCACACAGCCAAAGACAACACCACTCATCCTGTAAAGAGCAGTATCTAACTAACCTTGCATAAAAACAGCTATTTACACGTATAACCTGGAAGAGGCACTTGGGAATTCCTTAGGTAATTACATGATGTTTGGGTGTCTGCAAGGCTGAAGAAAGTCATTCTGGGGGCACTCAAACCTTAGACCCTGTTTGTACCTTACATTAAGACTTGCATACTAATTTTCTACAAGTTAAAGACTGATATTGTTAGAATAGAAACACTTGATGTTTTAAAAATAATTCAAGTGTCAGAGCATTAAGACTATAATTTATACTTACAATGTGGAGGTAGGGATGGGGGTAGAATGACTGAACATATTATGCAGCAGGTATTAGAAGAAGGCTCTTTAGGTAGTGATGTTAGTTTCAAATCAAGTGCAAAAGATGTGCATTGAGCATTATAATTTTAAATTGAACTCTTCAGGTAAGTTTTATGAATTTCATCTTTGAGGTATGATATACAAGGTCTAGATATAAGCAGGGTCTAAGGGAGTGATTTCTAGTAAGTTGAATCTTCAGGCATTTAGCACTCATATCAGCCATTCATTGGGGTTTGTCTTTACATTCATCCACAAAACAAGCAACCAGTTTTAACATTTTATTGTAATTTTATATACAAAGAATGCTTAACATTAACAGAGCTTAGAACAGCAGCAACATTTACAGAAAACTGGATTACAGATGTTTAACAACTAATTTGTTTGAACCCAAACACTGTTTTACAAATACCTGTAGTTTAAAAAAACGAAACAAAACAAAACAAAAAAAACCCAATCCCCCAAATCTCCCCAACTCCTCCCCGCAAAGAAACAATGGTAGGAATAGACCAAAAACTCAAATATGGTCCTTACAGTACATAAGAATAAAAACAGTAAACTATAAAATTCTAAGTGTTAACTCTATACTAAACCACTTTGCATTAGAAAATTATAAAATAGGATGGCTTTAGTCCACTTTAGGTTTTAGAATAATCAATTTTAACGCTTACTTTTCCCAGACAGGAGCTTAAAAAGCAATTTGTTACTAGGACATTTTGTCGGGATACAGTCTAGGGGAAAGGACGTAACAAAGCCAAGGACAAGATAGGGACAGCACTAATGGAAAACCCATCTTTTCATTAATCTTGGTTGCTAAATTTGGTTTCACATTTCTGATAGCAGGGAAAAAGGATTTTTGGAAAACTGGACAGCTTACTTCTTGGCCCTCAAAAGTCTGCCTACTTTTTTTTTTTTTTAAAGGCACAATTTGCAAGCTAAATGTATTGCTTTAAAAAGTAATCCATCACTAGTGCTTTCCCAAACAGAAGATACACATTGTTGAGCAGAAAATGCAAGCAATCTTATCGCAAAACATTGCATATACAGTGATTCAGGAGGTAACAATTTGCCCCTCTGCCAAACATACACATTGGTATATTCCTGCAAACAGCTTTACACACTTACACAATTCATGTAGTCTGTGTTCAAACAAATTAGGTTGTTCAAAACTTTTTCTAATGCAGACAGACTACAAGTCTATAGCATAAAGAAACAACTGTATCACATTTAAAATATTGACCTTCATGGGATCAAGTCAAATATTCAAGAAATAACCATGCAATCGTCCGTGTAAAGGAAATCTTCTGTTTTGGCTGCTTAAAAAAGGTCCACATAATTTATAGCCAAAACCAGGAAATTCCTCCAGAACCTTGTTAGTTTCCAATGTATAATTAAACAAAACGTATGAGGGAAAAAAAAATTAAGTGTAGCTTCAAGTGTTTCTTCTGTCTTGAAGATGAACAATACTCCAATACGCTGAGGCTGACAAAGTATTCCCCTATCTTCTCAAAACAGCAACTACTCTTTACAGGATAGTAATAATATGTACAATGCTTTTGCAAAATATATCCTCCCCCAACCCCTCTTAAAAAACCGTTCCACATAAAAAAATATGATGTTAGAAAAAAACTTATATTTTCAAGAATATATATATACCTTTGTAAGCTGGGCCAGAGAAATAGACGCGGAAGAGTCATCAATCTGTTCACAAAAAATTAAACACACATTCAAGTTCCAAACTGAAAACATCTTAAAGTGATCATTTAGCCCCTATTGACACTTAATGTTGAAATATTGGGCATTTTCTTAGTTTTCTAAAGAATGTTAAGCTTGAAAATGTAGCTCAGCCTGCTTCATTCTTCTCTAGATATTTCACACAGTTATCAAAGGCTATCAGTTGGAGGGGAGGAAAAAGGGGCTCAATTAAAATGAAAAAATGGGGAAAAAATATATCACACAGAAAATCTGTTCAGAGTGTTGAGTCCCATTTCTCTCTATGGTCTCTGAATGTGACAATACTCAAGACAATATACACTGGAAGAGAGAATAAGAAATCTAATTTTCCTGCAAGGCCATTATACAACACTGTAAAAACAAACAGCTCTTTAAGGGCTCAGGTAATTGCTTTAATAAATAACAGCTCCCATATAATTGCTACTTCTTTAATTTTTGAAAACATACACTTCAGTCTGAGTGAAGCTTGTTTATTCTCTCATACAGAGAGTAAGAATAGCTTCTTGTCAAAGAAACCACAACTTTATAAGGGCAAAGATGTTAAGTCAAAAAAAGGGAAAACAAAAGCACCCTGTGGAGAAGGCCAACAGAGCTGTCACTTATTATGATGGACTCTATTATTTGAAGAAAGTTAATTTAATCACACAGAGCAAGTGTACATATAAAGGATATAAGAGGGCTTTAAAAAATGTATTTTAATGAGTCTTAAGCATTCTGCTCCACTCACTCACTGCCAATTCTCCAACACTGAAGTGGGGGAGATAACTGGGCATATTTGAAGAGGCATCTTTGTGTAAAAGATGTATGGAGTCAGGAGAGAGCCACCTTCATAAACTGTTGTGTGCAAAGAGGAATAAAACATTTCTCTTTCAAAAATAAAATAAAAATTAAAATGTATTTTAAATTGAACACTAATTTTTGTTCATTTGATCCTCTGAAATGATTTTAATATTAGTTTTTAAAAGAATCTTTAGTAAACAATCCTGAAGATATGCTTTCCCTACAGCTTCCTATGTAGTAAGTGGGTTGCTTATTTAACATGTCGTAAGGTCAGAACTCTTCATTTAAAATAGAGAATGTAACAAGATGTCTGGATCAAAGAAAAAAGTCTTCATCAGGTATTCTATATTCCAGAGAACTAAAAGTTTTAAAATAAAAGCAACATGACTTAAGAGCCCCAAAGAGAAATGTAACCAGTCTCAATATGAAGTTCTTAGCCAATGCCCACACAGTAAATAAATGTAAATAAAAAATAATGTTGGCTAAATATAAGACACATCTCACAAATATCTTAGGGTTTTAAAAGTTAGTTTGATGGATATTACTGGGATGTTTATTCAGACAAAAGGTTATTTGCTCTACATTAAGGAACTGACTATAAAAGAGTTCATGATGCACTAATCCCACATCCTAATGCATTTTAACATAATTTGCCAATGGGTTATCATTTTTGTCCAGCTTTAAAGTATTTTTTTCCTTTAAGAACTAATCTCAAGTGGTAAGTAGAAAAAAACCTCTAAATAATATATACTCTCTTTTTATCTAAAATAAGTTCTGACCTACTCAATCTATTTTAAAGATTTTATACCAACCAGGAATTATTTGATTTTAAGTAACAAGGACTAGACAAATTGCTGTCAACCATCATCTATACTACATTTCTCACCAATAAAATAAACAGCCTTTAAAAATAGCCCATTACTATCTAGAATAGAATACAAATACTGATGATTTCCTTGGAAAGAAAACAATTATATTAACTTTCTTACCACTGGAACTAAAAAACTCAACAAAAAAAAGTCTTCCCACTCCTAAAACTTAAGATACAGTATCCTTTTTGTTTTTATGCTGGGCTTTTGTGTGCTTTTAAGCTTTCTGCCAACTTCGTATTATATATTCATTGACTTTGAAGTGGTTTTAGATATGCAACTGCACTTAAATCACCTTTTTACCAAATAATCACTATTGCCCCTAAATATCTTATAGTCCACAAAAAAGTCAAGTTTACCTCAAATTTAGAAGAGCAAACAAATGTTTTCTATATATAGCAAGGTGTTAAGAAATGAGCAAAAACTGTTGACAAAGAATGGTTTAAAAATGATTAGGAATCTGTATTACTAAACATCAATAAAAATAGTGACTCTTGGTAAGATACTAATGGTAAAAAAAAAAAAATCTGCCACTTTAAAGTCCTCACAAAACTGACTGATGCAGATTGTTGACATTAAAATTAACCCACCTCCCTGTACCTAATTAGGGGTCTTACTTTGGGGAGCAAGGATCTAAGATCTTTTATGCTAATTATACTTGCTTTTTGAAGTTAAAGGATCCTATGAAATGCAACTCTGATATTTAGTTAGCAAGAAGAACATCCAGCTTTGGGGTATCAACATGGACGGATGACTAAAAACAAGACTGGGGAATATGGAAACAGTCATCCATCCTTGATTAGAGTTCGCTTCCATTACCAAAACTATATATTCACTTTACTAATCAGGGTAAGAAAAATTTGGCCTAGCGCCTCTATTTACTTTGCTTTTGTGAATGTGTACAATCCACGTGATTCTAAATCTCCTAAGATGGGCACTAATTATGCTTGATGAATATATTCTCATCCTAAATGCCAGCAAATGCACCCCAAGCAAATAAATGATGGGGACAACAGGGTATCTAATATCTCTATTTCAATAATTCTACCTAAAAATTAAAGCCACTTTTAAAGTATTAAAAAAAAGAAAAGAAAAGAAAAGAGAAACCTAAATAAGCTTAAATAAACTGCTTCTTATAAATGTAATACAGACATGCCGGAACACACAAGGCTAAAAGAATGTTAACTTTATTTATGAACATGTGATTTGTGTTTATACACATGCTAATAAACAAAAAGGAAATAACTGTTTTCAAGAAATAAAACTTCATCTGAATTAGTTTAAATACTATATAAACTGTACTTTATACAAAATGTGTTACATTAACTACTACAGTCACCAGGATAGTCAATCTAATTTATGCTAGCATTTGGATACATAAAAATCAGTTTTAAACCAATCACCAGCAAAACATAAGCTTGGACAGTTTTTACAGCATTATGCTTAAAAAAACAAAAAACAAAAAACAAAAACAAAAACAAAAAAAACAAAAAAAACCCATATCCAAAAAGAGGAAAAAAGCCCCAAACACTAAGACTTTTGATCTTAGAATCACTGTATTTAGTTCCACAAGAACTAAAGGCCATATAACTCTAAAGAACAAGTCCAATGTTCAGATATTCTATTTTATCATGTTTAAGATCCAATGATCCAAGATTAGTGAAATGCCTCATATACAAAGAGCAATAGTATTTAAAAAGTATATAATGTGAAATAGCAAGCAATACCCTTGAATTCTAAATGAAGATTTTAGACATCTTGCATTGTGTACAATATCAAGCCTGGGTATTAAAATGTTTAGAGAACCATTACATTTACAGAACCCAATTATGATAGACCTGTGTTATGAAACAGATGTTTCACCCCACAACTTAGGAATGCTGCTACTTTTTACTTAAGAGCTCAAAGTTAAAATGATATCACAAATTAAGTTAATCTGTGATTACAAAAATTAAGCTTAACTTTCTTCAAACCAGTTATCCTGGTTAGGGGGAGTTACCTCTGATAAGCTACAGCTTTCAACAGCCTACAATTAACGCAGCATTTTAGTATCTCATGAAAAAGAGGGAAATATTTTAATTTGGACATCTGCACTAACTAGATAGAAGGAGAAGATCTCATTAAACTTTGAAAACAATATAATAAATTTATATAAACTGAAAATCACTAAGACATTTATATATTCATAGGGGGCCCCAGTTTCAGGTATCACTTTATAGTACAGATGTAAACAAAAGGAGGAGCTCAAAATGCCAAATAAAGCATGACTAAATAATAAAGCTGCATCAATGGTCTCTGGAAAGCTCTTTTCTATGATGTGTTTGAACTTGGAGAAAGCATCAAACTTTAATATAAGCTTTGCATGTTGCTAATGCATTTTTGGAAGCCATGAATCAGGCAGGAAAAAAAAAAACTAACAAAAACTAAGTGATACAACGTGAAAATGGCAAAATATACACTCCAAACATTTTTTATTGCAAGAAACAAAAAGCACACAACAGCCTGTACATACATACAAAATACTAACTATAGACAGACAAATGTAGAACATGTCATCATGTTCATTAGTGTAAAACCTAAACGATCTAAAAAGGATCATACATTAACTGTACAACACAGTGTCATACAGGGAGAATGCTATCATATTTAATATGAAACAGTGTTACGGGCACAAATTACCCATTTCTACAAAATAAGTGTGCAAATGATGCCACATATATCCATATTCAACTGAGCTGTCATCAAAATACATTTTATTTACAATATGTACTATGATCAGTTGGATATTAAGTTCTAAAATGATTTACTTCACTGCTACATTATAAAGGTAAAAGCAATGTGTAGAAAAAGTGTGAGATTGTGTTTTTACATACTGCTTTTGTAGTTGCCATCGCTGGTTCAGTTCGACTTCTAAAAAACAAAATAAAAACCAAAATTAACATTAGCTATTTACGAATTTTTGTGCTAATAAATTTTAACACATTATCTTCAATAATACATTTTTAGGAACATAATTTTCCTTTGGTATAAATATTTAACAACAGCCAATTTCTGAATGAATTACTCTGATTAATCTTTACCACCTCTGAACAGTTTTAAGACAGATTTGTGGTTTGGAAAAAAATTCCATACTAGGGAATTCGAAAATAGGTGTACCGTGCCACTTAAAACAAATGTTTTCTGAAAGGTAGTATGGGGATTTTAGGTTTAGAAATGTGGTTTATTCTTAATACACTGAAAAATTAAATTACATAATTTCCCAGTTTCTGAATAGGTAAATTTTCACACATCAGGAAGACCACTGTTGTTAACATTTGTAATTTGGATCCCTGAGAAATTGCTGTGCTCCCAAAACTAATTTTCCAATCTGGAAGGCCAGGCTGATACCTATTTTCATTTTTCAAATGTCTCGAAACAACGATCAAGAATTGAACAAGAGGCCAAGGTGAGAGGATCACTTAAGCCCAGGAGTTTGAGACTAGCCTGGGCTGTAACATAGTAACCCCATCTCTTAAAAAAAGAAAAAAAAAACTGAACAAAAATTCTCATTCCCAGAAAAACACATATTTTAGTTAGAAGAACTGACTCAAAAGGCTGTGTAGAACTGGAAATTTCGTGTTTAAAAACCATACACGTAAACCCCAAAAGAAATTATTTTAATCCACACAGGAAAGGGGAAGGAGTTGAGTTGCTAGATATACCTTTTAATGCTTCAAGTTTAAGGTATCTTGGCTATACAGAAATGTTAGCATCTAACAGGAGTTTCTAGGTTTGTGTATAATTTGGAATTTGAGATAAAAAAAAGCTAAGCTTTGATTTTCTAGTTATTTGCTCAAAAAAAAAAAAAAAAAACCAGATGCATTTTATGAGGCAAATTTATTACAAACAGAATCCTGTATGTTGTAAATTAACATAGTATTCTGTGTAAGAGGCAACTTATTTTGCCATGTACTTCAAGTAATTCTTTTCTTAAGAGTTTCTATCAAAAAATCTACAGAAATGATGTTTGCCATTTTTTAAAAAGCACTTGGTAAATTAAAGTAAAACTTCACACTAGATTGTAGGAATTAATTATCCCCATAAATTTGTAATTCTTAGGCTGGGTGCGGTGGCTCACACCTGTAATCCTAGTACTTTGGGAGGCCAAGGCAGGTATATCACCTGAAGTCAGGAGTTTGAAACCAGCCAGGCCAACATGGTGAAACCCAGTCTCTACTAAAAACACAAAAATTAGCTGGGTTTGGTGGTGGACACCTGTAATCCTGGCTACTTGGGAGGCTGAGGCAGGAGAATTGCTTGAGCCTGGAGGCTACAGTGAGCCAAGATTGTGCCACTGCACTCCAGCCTGGGCAACAGAGTGAGACTCCCTCTCAGGCAAAAAAAAAAAAAAAAAACCCTAATATAATTCTTCTATAGTTCTTAGAATCATTTAAAGATAAGAACACACACCATTAAAAGTTCACTTGGCAATTACAACAAGGAAAGTATTCAGCTTTTTAAAGCTGTTACTTTACAGAAGATACTGCACAAAAGGACTTCTAAGTGTTAAGATATGGAATATAACTTTACAACAAACTAATGAGAAAAATCTTAGAATACTTGCCCACATGAGGTAAAGCTCCAAGAAATGACTTTATTTTTACCTTAATTTCAAGAACACTTTCCATTTCCTAGCACTGGCAAATTCTAGAATTTTTCATTGACTCAAAACAATTTATTCCATTTCAAACAAAACTACCTAATCCTCCTAAGTGAAAATCACTACTCTTTAAATAACCTAAGTTGCTGCCCTTTTCACATATTATAGTTCTGCTATCACTACTGAAATGGCAAGAAAGCAGAGAAAGTTAAGGATACAAGGTTTTAATCCTGCCCCAGGTTAGTGACCATCAGCTCTGGACTAGTTGTGAGACTGCTCTCTTCCTACTCCAGTAATGTGCATTTACCATGTGCCAGACACTATTTAATTCTTACAACCCTCTAGGGTTAAGTACTCACATCCCTATTTTATTTTTGAGGAATCTGAGGCACAGAGACTTACCCAAGGTCCAAAGTCACACAACTGGTATGAAGCATAAATGGAGTCAAATCTAAGCCTGATTTCAGTGCCTATGATTATAAATCCTATATACTTTATGCCTCTCAGCCAAAGCTCCTTATTGATAAAGAGTAAATGTTAGCATTGCTGAATACTCTTGATGCTGTCAAAATATTTAGGACCAATGTCTACGACACTAAATTTTTGTGGTGAAGAAAACCGAAGGAACACGCTAAAAAAAAAAGCAGTCAAAGAAAGGCACAGAAATAATTTGAATATCACTTTCTTGTCTTTGCATATACTGCCCATATGGAGAAAAAATTTCTTCCTAATAATGGCCCTTCTCACCACAGGCTAAGTCAATTTAACTGGGGGAGGAAATAAAAAACAAACGAACAAAGAAACCCACTATCCTCACAGTCTTGAGAAAATGTATTCATTAAGGTTAAAGTAATGAGTTCAGTTCTAAAATATAGTTTTCTCTCACAAAATTAAAAAACAAACTAAAAAAAAGTCTATTTTGAGAAATACATGAGATTTGATACTTACATAACATATGTCTTGCTTGTAGATTTAACACCTCCAATAGGAATTCTTCTAACAATTACAGACGAATTCTTAGGAATCAGAGCATTATCATCAGTATATTCTGTAAATAAAAAGACAGAATCGAATTTCCATTTGGGGATTTGGGTGAGTATCCAAGAATTAGAAAACTTCAAATATAAATTTCATGGGAAATGAACTTTAAATATAATAACTAAAAGTTCCTTGCAACTAGATTACTGATATTGTCAGAACAAACATCCAAAGCTGTAAGAGGGCTTGTTTTCAAAGGACAACAAATATCATCAGCAGGTTCTTGGCTCTGGCACCTCTACTTTTGTGGAACTCCAAATCTCAGTAACACTGTCATTCTTTAGTCAGAAATGCTGAACATATGAGCGGAGAAAAAGCTGTTATTTAGAATGAAGATATTCTGTCTCTCCTAGTCCCTAAACATTAGTTGAGTATTACAATCCCTGCACTCACAGAAATTATTACTGAGGAAGATAGACTAAAAATTAAATTATGATGTTATGAATAAAGAGAAAATGGTTTTCTAACAAGGAATGAATAATGGAATACAACTTCAGATAGCATGATGATTCCAAGAAAGCCCCTTGGAGGAACTTCTACTGGATCCTTAAGGACTGAGAACCCAGCCAGATACGGGGGAAAAAAACTGGTTGAGGACTATTTCAGGCAGAAGATAAGAAAAGCATGTGAGAAAATGACACGAAATAGCTTGAACAGCCTAAGAAAATAAAAGAGAAGAATGACAGAAAGGTATAGACCATACACTGATTTATATTTTGTTTTAAAGTGCAACAGGTAGACACTGAAGGATTTTAAGCAAAGTGATTATTTGCTTTTTGTTAAAGAAAAAAAGACTGCTTGTAGGAGAACAAGAATAGAAACCAGGGAACTAATAATGAGGCTGTTAAACAATCCAGGTAGAGATAATGATGACCTATGTTAGGATGTGACAGAGAGAAATTAAGACAGAATGTTTTCAGGTAGGATTGACAAAGCTTGCTGATGGACCGAATATTGGGGAGATGAAAGAGAAAGAGGAATTAGGCCAGAGGAATCCCTGGGTTACTGGCTACAGCCACTGGATAAACCGTGATGTCACCTTCTGGGAAAACCAAGAGGGAGATGAATGGATCCTATTTTTATACTCCTTGGGCTATCTGCAATACTTTTATAAGAATGAAATTAAGAAACTGGACCTTAACTATGGTGAAAGAATCTGTAAAATTACCAAAAAGAAAAATTATCTTGAAGATGCAAAAATGTATCCATCTCCTTTAATCACCCAACCAGGCCTTTTTATTGTCATTAAGTTTACTTGCTTCACTTAAAGTTACTCTGCACAAAGTGACTATCTCTGTTCTTCCGATTACTAAGCTTACCACATATGTAGGCGTATCCGGCTTTTAATGTATATTAATTATTTTTAGTCATAATGCTAACAGTACTCCTTGTTATAAATGAAATTGTTCAGGCAAGGGTTATTTTCTATATACTTCAAATAGAAGGTGGTATCTCACAGGTATTCAATCAGAGGTAGGCAATTTCCTAGATTTAGGCATGCCAATGTAGGACTATAATCATTATCTTTGATAGTTCATGATAGTCCCAAATTCCAAGAAAGTTTTGATTCAGAAAAACTGAGAGTATGGGGTGACTAGATTTTTTTAAAGTTAATTCTAGAAACAAAACAGTGTCAAACACCTGACAGGAAGTTTCTGAATATGCTAACAACTCAATGCACTCACAAGAGCTTTCCAAGACAGCCTATTAATTTGATTAGCACAGTACTGTGTCAAACTAAAAGGTGCCTCAATGCCCTTCAAAACAGATGTTCTAACTGACTTTTTAAATACCTGATTTACAATGATGATTTCTTACCCCTTAAGGTATCTTTCTAGGGGTATTAAAGTAAAGACACTTTGGGGGTTATTTCATTTAAAATACCTCCTTAACAAGTAGTCTGTTGGCTTCAAAAGACCCTTTGTGCTTGGCAGTTTTTTTGACCCCAGACATGAAAGGCATGGATGAAATGAAAAACAACATGAATCTGAGAAATGGAGAGTTAGAAAGATAATAAGAGTCGTTTATAAACTCTTCATATTCAGCTTCCAAACCTCTCACACTTTAATTTCAGAATGAAGGATGTTTTGTTTTTTAGGGGTCAGTGTGCAGAAAAGCAGAAAAGTTTCTCATATATAACAAAGATTACTTGAGATTCATTTTGAAATATAGTCTAGAAACAAGCAGGATTCTTGTCTAAAATACATGGAATTCTGACCCAAGCATTTTAGTCTTATCAAGATTTAAGGGTCCTAGGCCAGGCACAGTGGCTCAAGCCTATAATCCCAGCACTTTGGGAGGCTAAGGCAGAAGGATCACTTGGGCTCAGGAGACCAGCCTGGGCAACATGGCAAAACCTCCATCTCTACCAAAAAAAAAATACAATAAATTAGTTGGGCATGGTGGTGTGTGGCTGTAGTTCCAGCTACTTGGGAGGCTGAGGTGGGAGGATCACCTGAGCCTGGTAGGTTGAGGCTGCAGTGAGCCGAAATTGTGCCATTATACTCTAGCCTGGGCAACAGAGTGAGGATCTGTCTCCCAAAAAAAA